AGTCCTCTATAGCAAAGACCTTAGCCCGTGTTGTGATTTATCCTTCCGTCACCACATCCAATTTTGTCCAATCATGCAATTGTATTTTCAGCCCCGCCACCTTAATTCAAATCTCGTCACATTCGAGCAGCCATTGGCGTCGTCTTTTGGGTTTTCCCTCTCGGCACATTCTAATTTTTCATTGTATTGGGTAATGCATAGGAACCGAATATATGAATGCTCGTGCAGAGGAGGAGCTTTGCCGAGCCAAAAAAAATGACAGCATTCAATGTCGGAATCACAAAGCACACAGTGCGGAGGGCCAGACGGGCCATCAAATGTATAAAGAGGCCCGTGTGTTGTATTTTGTTTTCTGTGACGCCTCACAACATTCAAAGTGAAAATGCATAGATGAGTGTAGACGACGGGGGAGGTTCGGGAGAGAGGCAGAAAAGCATAGAGTTAGTTCGCGAGTCTGGATGCATCCGAGTATGCGGGCAGAACATCACACCACACAAGGCGCAAAATGACGAAAGCGAGATATTCAATCACGAAACAGGCGCCCCAACAACGGGGACGTTCGTGATAATTGAAATCCAACGAGAAAGAACAATATTGTCGACGACAAACACGCCGGACACATGACAAGTTCACCTGGAGATTTCCTGACAGTGACAGCCAGTTCTGTTTGAACCAAACCGAGAACACCCACCAGTCCCTCACGAAAAAATTGAAAAGGAACAAATTTTGTCCGGAGAAGAACGAAATGTTCTTCTACGTCAACCCTTCTACACTACATGATCAACAAAGAGATAGACGCTTACCTACCAACATCGCAAATCGCCAAAGCTAGTCTAGCTCTGATAGAGGAGATGTGTCTATGGGAAAAACCAAAAGGTGGACGTAAACCTCTCGCCAAACAGGAAGCGAACATCAACATGAACACCCCACAACTAGCCCCGTCGTGCTGCCGAGGGACACCTTTCACGCTGACCTCGCGAGCGAAGTGGTCAAAAGTGCGACCATCACCGGCGACACCTGCCACCGTGTTCAAAAATTTAACATTTTTATCCAGAAGTGCGGAGTAGAAGGAATCTTTGGATGACGAACACGAGAAAGAATCATAGATTTTAAAAACACGTCTAGAGAAGTCAATGGCCAAAAGGCTCCAGTGTTCGCCGTCCTTGTGCACCGGTGCCAAGACGAGGTCATGAGACAGGAGGTCGACATCTTTAGCCCATCTGAGAACAGCTGCCGGACCTCGCAGTAGCAGTGAAGAGGTGAAGAAGGAGTTAAAGGTGTATGTCTTCATGGTAGCGGCAGTCCGGCCGCAGTCGTCCAGTAGCATCGCCATGTAGAAATTGACAACCTCATCGTTGAGCTCCCTGGATCTATCCACGAGTGCAACGATGTCCTTGACGGATACCTGTAAACTGTGCGACGGCAAACGCAAGACGATGATACTGAGCGGCAACCGGGAGCAGATAACGTCTTCAAGGACCGCTTTCCTATCTCGAGGAAACCCTGTTCAACAAACACCCGCAGCACACAGCAAGCACAAAGAACGGGTGACTATGAGAAAATGCCGTGCTAGCGGCCATGGTCCGAGGAACCGCTACGCGGTGGTCTGAAAAGTTCACGCATAACGTCATCCCTACTTCTGAACCTTCTACACACAGTTGATTCTAAACTAGCACTGTCCTTTATATCCCTGCAAGCCTCGAGAAGGAATTCCTTGCAGTCTTTTTTGGCAACACCCGCTGCCTCTGCAACGAGTCTTGCGCGGGAGCCCAATACGGGCACGACTACCCTTCTGGGAGGGCCTCGAGGCTTAGTGTCCCCAGGAAACACATCAGTGACATTGCGACGACCAGTGCCTCCCGCAACCAGGACTGACAACCTAGCGAGGGCAGGCGGCTCCTGCGACATGGGTGTTTGTCCACGAGTTCGTCAACCTGTACAAGAAATAGCCACCCAGACAGTTCAGCAGGAGATCAACAACACAAGTTCGCAAGAGCAACCAAGCAAACAGCACCTCACGAAGCACATCGTCACAATCCAGTTGGCGGCCGCCTATACACCTCCCCGAAATCGACGAAGCAAACAACACTTCACGAACGGGATGACAAGCGGGAAGAAAGCAGAGAAAGTCAGTGCTTACCAGGCCTAGCTACCACTTCACCAGAGTCCACCGACGGCAGTCCCAACACGATTGGCACCCCTGCGCGCGTCGACGAGGCGACGACGTGCTCCAAACCCACAGGGAAACTTGACAGGCTCGAGATGTCGGCGTCGATGACCGTAGACGGTATATTCGTCTCCGGACAAAGATCGTCGACGTCCACAACATCGGCAGGTTGTGTTTTCTCCATTGCCACTGTGTCTTATTGTGTTGGGCTCAATGTCCCATGGATGTCCAACAACACCTCTCCCCCCCTTAACTTCTTGTCCCCGTACGTTGTGTCTTTGTCGTCGTCACTCAAATAGAGAAATCTATCTCCAACAACGTCAGAGGCCTTCTTCAGATCGTCCTCCCCCGTCGCCTCGTTGTGAAGGGCGGAGTACAAGGGATCGTCGTATCCCGGCTGAACTGGTAGCTCCATCCCGACGTCCTTGAGTGTCGGATCAGTCCGTTCGTCGGCGGAATTGTCCTTGTCCAAAGTCGTCAGTAGTCGACAACCCTCAACGCCTGCTATTTGAAGTCCTTCGTCCGTGTGCCTCGGATGAATCCGAATCACGGTCGTCTCCAAAGATGCATCAGGGAGGGAGATGTTCACAGGGCCCTGGTTCGGATTCATCCGATCCCCCGCAGTTTCCAATGACGCCGACATGACCGCTTTCACCGGGGAGTCGCTTACGACTGCTAACTTGGCTCCGAGTCTGTTGGGCTCGACATTGGAACTGGTCGCCAACTCACCCTCAGTCCGACAGTCCGCCTGCAGCTCCTTGTGGGCTTCCACGCACAGCATTACTGCATCCTGACACCGATCGTCTGTCATGGCAGACACGGCTTCCTGGTTCGGATGAATCCGAATTCCGTCGCCAGGGTTTTCGGAAACCCGGACCACCCGTTCGAGTTCTGTAGACAGTTGTGCTCCCTCGATGGCACGGCCTTCGCGGTTCGGATTAATCCGAAATTCCTTTTGAGGCGAAACGGAACACGGTTCCAGCTTGTCGCTGCCGGACCAGTGGTATGTTGTCGTCTCGCTTCCCGGAAGGCATTGAGTTCCGGACAACGAGGTCGTCTCCGAGGTTCGGATTGATCCGAGACAACCCGCTAACCGTTTTTGGAGCTGAGCGAAGCATGTTCCCTGCTTTGCGACACCCGCCCCGCCAACCGCATCGACAAACTGTGTTTCGTTGGTGGAGCTAATCACAGGGTCCTGCTCGCCAGGCCGCGTAATACACCCAGGCCTCAAGTCGTTCCCCGTCTCCATTGAGGTGTTGCCTGTTACCGCCAGAACCCCACCGTCCTCGTCGCGGTCAACATCACCCCCCTGCCTGCCTCCTCTGTGATGCTTTGTCTTCTCTCCGCTGCGAGGCTTCTTCTTCTCCCGGCTGCCCTTTTTCCCCTCTCCGCTGCCTGCGTGCCCCGGAGACCGCTGTTTCGTCGAACGCTGCTCACTTCCACCTCCGGTACCTCGTTGCCCGCCGCCTTCACCATCCCCGTTGCCGTCCTTTCCGCGAGACTTGCGCTTCACAACTCCTACCGGCGGGGTGACCCCAGGCAACTCCCAACTCACTTGCTTAATTGACGGGCTTGACGGAAGGGCGTAGAACTCGGAGGACACTTCCAGCCATTTATTTGACTGCAAGAACTCGAACAGCGTGTCCCCGTATTCGCGAAGAGCAGGGTCGTCCTTACTTCGTCGATTGACCTCAGTTAATCGCTCCAATACCACATCATAGGCGCGAGATTCGAATGTCTCGAGGTCCCAACGATCGTCATATATCCACCCTCCACTTACGTCCCTCACAGCCACTGCGCATTCGCCGTCGAGAAGGACTGGCTGGAAATGGTCTGGGTGCCACACGATATCATAGCTCCAATCTTCGGCTGTGGAGAAGGTGTGTTTGTCGCCCATGTGGAAGGGAGTCGCAGGAGCCTTGAGATGTGGATGGTCCGGAGGAACTGGATGGCCGGGTCGAAGACATTCGGGCTGCGGCGTGAGACGAATAGTCTCCCCTGGCGAACTCCTCAGACGGAACAACCCACCCCTCTTGACAGGCGCTGAGGAGGACACGGGCGTGGGACCGCCCGAGGTAGGTGTAGCGAGAGGTGTCCCCGGTTTGCATACTGACGATGACTCAAAAACTTGGGCGTTGAAGATGGCCAATTGCCCGTCCAAATCGAAGAGGTCGTCCTCAACGATCTCCTCCTGCTCAGTCTCGATATTGAAGTCCTCCTCCTCACCGAATGCCAGCTTGTACTTATCCAAAGTGAAGTCGGCCGGATCGACAACATCCTCGTTAAAAAAGACATATTCCAGCCTCTTAATGAAGCTCACAGCGCCGGCCCGACTCGCTCCGTGGTAGCCCTGGAGGACCGCAATGGCGATTTCCTTCCGCACCACGTACTGCGGGTCAAATCTCAACCTTGGTTGTTCGCCGTAAAGGAAGGAGTAGACCTGGCGCATTTTCTTCGGAGTCAACTTGAAGAACATGTCCTTGTTCGTGTCATAAACGGGCTCAACCACGACATGGTGGAAATCACATGGGTAAGCCTTGGACGACACTTCATGGGTGACATACTGCACGGTGTATTCGAGCTGCGTTGTGTCCCCATCCACGACCAAGACGTGCCTTCCCTGCTGAAGCAGACTCCACACCACCTGCGCGTGCAGCTTGCCCAAGAACACCACGGCATCCGTCACACCACAGAAGAAAAGAAGCTGATTGCACAACTGTTTCGGATTTCGCTCGCCGTCCTTGTACAGAGCCCCCCTCTGGGTCAGGTTTCCGATGTCCGCGAAAGTCAAAGACTTGAAAGACTTCTCCTCCACATCCGTGGGTGTCACTTTCTGTTTCCTCCGGAGAGCTGCGTCGTCGTCTTCAGCAACAGCTCCCTCGTACACCGGGTGAGTCAGTAGCTGAGGATCCTTGCCTTTGAAAAGGATGTGCATCACATCCGGCTCCTCCCAGACGCTATTTCCGAACTGATGCGTCTTCTTCGATGCCGTCTTCCGAACCCACTTCCCCATGTAGCGTCGGGTAGCCCCAAGCGCAGACAAACATGTCATGGAGGAGAGGTTCCACAGGCAGGAGACGAATACCACCAATGTCCAGTAGTCCTGACAAACGAAGCCCAGCAACTCACTCAGAGACGCGAATGCCCGAGAGTCCCATTGCGCACGGTTAACAGTTCCGCACAAGTCAAGCACGCAAGTGTGGGAGCGTAGCTGATGCCCTAGTTTTCCCAGCGCGGCCTTGTGATCTATGGCAGTCAATGGGTCGACGTTAAATTGGGCCAGCGTCGTCAAGGCGCATGTCCTTGTCCACATAATGTTGATGCATTCATCAACGCCCCGAGGGTTTTTTTTGCCTTTGGCGCGATCTCCAGTGATCACCGAAAGGACGACACGCTTCCATTCCCCAGGGAAATGCTGGTCGTTGACGAGGGCCGCCGTTCTCTTGATGTTGTTGTCGTGATGACACCCGAGAAACTGAGGGCACTTGTTGACGTATGTGATGTCCGTGAAAAAATTCCTGCTCTCGTTCCAAAGCTTGTCGTCGAGACCTCTGTCCTTGAACTCTTCGAACAGTTGCTTCTTGGACCTGAAGAACGTGGAGTTGGCATTCCACTCCCGCTTATCCATTTCCTCGTACTCGAACTCCACGTAGTGCCACAGCCTCAGCATAATCCGGTCCATTTTTATTATGTCAACCATCTCCTTGACACTGAACTTCCCCTGCTCGGCCAACTTTGAACCCACACGACGTTAAGGTTCAAGACACCATTAGTCCACCAATTCCTTCCAGCAGTGGACATCCGGCTTCGGAACTTGGACATAGAAAGTTTTCTCCTCCGCACTTTTCTTTGGCTTCCCCTTCCCCTTTTTCAATGACGGGTCGTCCACCTTCACGTACCTGACGTGTTTCTTCAGCCCGTGGCTGTCAGTCACAGTGGAGAGGTCTGGCTTGGCCACCTCCTCATGGGTGGGCGGCTTTTCAGTCCAACGCCGGCCGTCGGAAGCAAGGAGTTTTCCTTTCGACCACTCCTCATAGAACTTCAACCMCAAAGCGAAGACGGAGTCATCTGCCATGGCCAGCGGGAGGTAGTATCGAAGTTTCTCAGCCCATTCCTTTCTTTCCTTTGCTTCCGTTGACAGGTTCCTGATAGGCGTGTACGGCGTCTTCTTCATTGCCAATGCCATGAACCGCACCCACTTTCGCACCTCGTCCTGTTTCTTTGAGGCATTGTCGAGCACCACACGCGGTTTGCCCTTTATTTTCCAGATATTGTGAATGTCCCGCATAGACAAAACCTGCAAGCCCGGTGGATTCTTCTTGTCTTTCATGTTGTCTTCGCAGCTGACATGGGCGTAGCCGTCGAACTCGTCGTCAGGGAAGTAGATCAGTCTGAACGACCATTTACAGAAGTTGTAGTAATCAAACACGGGATGGTCTTTCACCATCATCGCCGCCCTCGCGTTATGTTGTCCACACACAAGATAATACCAGTATTTCTCCGGGTGTGAGCTGTCGAAGTCAGCAGGCAGCACGCGCACAGCAGGCTCGCCGTTCTCTAGAGGCGCAACGATCGGAGCGAGAACGAAAATGGGCTTCGTGTATCTCATGTCTTTACGTTCGTAGCAGTCGATCATAGCCGACGAGATGGTATCAACGAGGAACTCGTCCAAGGATCGGTGGTTGTACGCGTCTTCCTAGTCTGGAATAGCTAAAATTCTTTCAGGGTGGATGTGCAACACGACGTCCTTCTGCACCCCTGTTTGCATCTCGAGGAAGAACGCATTGTCGAGGTTAAAGGCGTTGAGGTTAATCTCCACGTCATCATCCCCCTCCCCGCTGTCGCCCTCGTCTGCTTTCTTCCCCCTCGATGATTTCGCCCTTTTCCCGGAAGACTCACCGGTTCTTCGCTGTGTCGACGAGTCTTTTCGCGTTTCATCCACCCTTTTCCTCTTCTCAACGGAACCGCCCTCTCGTGTTGTTGGCGTCCGAGCACTCCCTCCTACCTTTCTCTGCCTTTTCAGAGCACCTAGTCCCTCTCCCTCTTCCTCATCCGGCAAGTTGTGCTTGCCTCCCGACTGAGTCTTTTCACCCGATCTCTCACCGAACAGCCCCTGCTCGGACACCTCCTCCTCACCGGCGACGTTCCCACTTGCTTCTCGTTCCTGGCTCAACTCCGTCTGTAGTTCCCCAGGCGCTGGTCGGGCCCGGCGAGTCGTCTCATCTGACCCATGCACCTCTCGAACCTGCGGACCACCCGCTCGATCTCCAGGCGAAACCTCGGCCACCTGCATGCCACGAACGAACGAACCGATCCTTTCGACCAGACCACGAGGAGTCGTCGATTCTGAGCCCTGTCACAACCGTTCGCCATCGCCGCCTCCATGTGGCGTCGACTACCCAAGCAAACCGTGGAGGCGAGATACATGCAAGTCCGATTTCAAAGGAGCACGCGGATGGTCGTCCTCCGAGTCGTCTGACATGCCCACCTCTTGATCAGGAGGCGTAGCTGGCAGGTCGCCCTGACCTCCCATCACCCTTTCAGAGCACTCTCCTCCCGTGAACCCAACAGGACCACTGATCGATGTTCTAGGTCCGACGTCCACGGCACTGACAGAGGTACCAGATTTCGCCCAGACCTCGAGGAAGTCTGTGACGTGAACGACCTCGTCGTGCCCCGACGCTAGCGGGAGAAATTGAGGCAAAGACATCGCACGACGGCCGTACCCGCCGAACATCCTCCCGGCAACCTTGCATCCCTTTGCGATGCCGTCGACAGAACCATCTTTTCTGTGATGCTTCTTCAACGTAAACTTGAAATTGAATTCGCCATCGTCGACCCACTGGACGATGGACCCTGCGAGACGCGTTCTGTCGGCACGAACGGCGACGAACAAGAGCGGCCCGCACGGTGGTTGCAACGGGTGGGAGCCGTCCTGGCTCGCCCAGTCCAAATACCAGACACGTTTGCTGTAGTCGCACCACAAGTTTTGAGCACGTCGTTCTTCCTCCCCACCTCCAACTCGCCGACTCGTTTCCCTTGCCGGCGACGACGTCGTCCCTCGACGCTCCTCTCCGTGCGGGGCGGAACCACCAGCGGAGCGGCTTCGTCCATGTGTAGCCATTCCCTGAAACACACGGAGGAAATGAACCCACATGCACTCAGAACAGTCAGCACGTCCCAACATCAACCACGACCCACAGCACGTATTCTGTCATTGGTCACGCGGACTCCAAAAGAACGAAGTTCAGTCATAGTTAGACGACAGTGGTCCACAAGCCTGGACGTTTCGGATGAATCCGAGGCATCGTGAGCCATCCTCGTCACACTGCCCTTAAGAGAATGAATGGTCGAAAACGAAGACCGTGGGATAGATCGGATTCATCCGAAGCAGGCGCAGTCGAAAAACCGATGTCGCATAGGCACCTGCACCGGGAAAAGCAACACCTCGCAAAAAGGCCCTAGAACGCTGATACGGCAGACGAAGACGAATACGTTGTCATCCGAAGTCGATAAGTGGATTGTAAAGTCCGCCGTTGTAGTTCGGATGAATCCGAGCTACAAAGCGGTGTGGACCTCCCGTTGTCGGCCCGTACGAAATCGAACTCGAGTTTTCTTGTCCTTCTGAGTCGGTAACGGTTGTGACTCGGATGCATCCGAATTCGAACAGCGCGGTCCAGAGACGGTCGTCCACAAGAGTTCATCTACAACACATGTTTTCGTCACCGACCTGCGAGCACTGGGTTAACCCTATCCTGCCGGAGGTTCGGTTCGGTTGAACCCGAACCTCATAAATGTGGCTCGGATTAATCTGAGACGGGGACCGGCGGATGGACCCCACGGTCTGTTGACGCCCATCCAGCCATCCAAGCTTCCGTTATTCCCCAGCTGTCGTCGGGTCCAACCGAATTTCGCACGGTGTGTCTTCGTCCATGAGTGTTTAAGCCGGGTGTGGCTCGGATTCATCCGATTTCGACAGAGGCTGTCCCAATACGTGCGACCACGACAGGCTGCGCCGACACCGTGTGCTTTCAACGTACAAGTTTATCAGACCGTGCGACATCGTCAATAACCTCTGCGCATGTGGTTCGGATTAATCCGACTTCGCCGAGGCGCTTCGCTTTGTTGTAGCCCCACCACATACCGGACCTACCGCCGATTGTCGTAGTGTGTCATTATAATCTGTGCGTCATCACGAGGGATATCATCGTCGTCGTGAGTTTTAGTTGGTTGTTGCTCGCCCAATCCAAACAACAGACACGTTTCCTGTAGTCGCAGCACAAGTTTCTAGCTCGTCTTTCTTCCACCGAGCGTAACCATCTCGACTCGTTTTAGTTGCATGAATCCGAGGCATCATTGACCCTCGTCATCAGATTGCCCTTCTTAGAGCGAATGGTCGACGACGAAGACAGCATGGTAGTTCGGACACATCCGAACTGGGCAGAGTCGAAAGACCGACGTTGTGACTCGGATGCATCCGAATTAGGCCGACCGCTAGAGGAGGACATCGGCACGGCGTGTTTTCCTCAATGACCTGTGAGCAGAGGGTGGACCCTATCCTGTCGGAGGTGAGGTTCGGATTTATCCGAGACGGAACGGTCTTTTGACAGCGTGTGACTTTGTCGTTTACGTTTATCGGAACGTTCGGAGTCGTAAATATCGTCTGTGCATGTGACAAATCCAAATATGTCGTCGGTGTGGTTCGGATTAATCTGAACTTCGCCGGGTTACCTCGGTTAGTGGTCGCCCTGTGAATTTTAGTGGGTTGTGACTTGGATGCAACTGAAATTACCAAGGGTGGCCCTGTTGTTGCGCCACCACAAGATGGTATGGACAGGGTGGGCTGCTGTCCTTCTGGTTGGTCAAACATGTCGCCGTCGACAATACCCTATGAGCATCTGATCACTCCGTGTCTTGTCTTGTGTCCAAGTCAGCGGAAGGGTTCCTCGCGGCGTTCGGCTGACGCGAGGTTTGATAGGGTTTAAAGATTTGAATTCACGTTCACCTCCTGTGTCTTCAAATTTGTCGTAGCCGTCTTCGAATTACTGATCTGTGATTGCACTCAGGGGGGGACCAACCTGAGATCGGTTGAGCGACTGTCTGCGATACACAAGGATTGGAGAAAGACAGAAAACCCGCATAGACACGGAAGGGAGACTAAGATCGATAGAGACGTCGACAAGGAGAGGATGCGCAGCGAGAGAGCCTGTCTTTAGCTCTCTGTCTCTCCATGCGCAGATCCTGCGGATGGTGTTGTCCATTTCAGAATTCGCAATGTGACCCGTTAATAAAACGGCACGAAAGAAATTTAAGAAAACATTGTTCGTGTCGGCGAGAGGAAGACTGGCGAAAATTTTGAAAAATTGTGGAGGACACTCATCTTGCCCGAAACTCCTTCATCTCTCCCCGATCAGATGGCACACTCACACGTCCGCATGTCATGTCCTGAACATGCGTGGCCACGCT